GCCCCCCATGCCGCAGCGATGCCTCGGCGGGGCTGAGTGGCTGCAGCCCTAGGGCACCGCTGGCCCGAGTTGTCCGTCGCTGGCTCTTAAGGCAGCGTGACGAAGCTCCGGGCGCCGGGAGGAAGCCTGGCTCCATGCTTACCCTTTCTCTCTCCTCTTCCCCTCCGCACCGGGGTCCTGGCTGCTGCTGCCTGCTGCCGCCGCCTGTCCCAAGTGGTCAAACAGAGGATGCAGATGTACAACTCACCCTACCAGCGTGTGACGGACTGTGTGCGGGCTGTGTGGCGCAACGAAGGGGCCGGAGCTTTCTATCGCAGCTACACCACCCAGCTCACCATGAACATCCCCTTCCAAGCCATTCACTTCATGACCTACGAATTCTTTCAAGAGCAGCTCAACCCCCACAGACAGTACAACCCAGGCTCCCACGTGGTCTCCGGAGCCTGCGCAGGGGCTGTCGCTGCCGCTGCCACTACGCCTTTGGACGTTTGCAAAACGCTGCTCAACACCCAGGAGTCCCTGGCCTTGAGCTCCAACATCAGCGGACACATCACAGGCATGGCCAATGCCTTCAGGACGGTGTACCAAGTGGGCGGCGTGACCGCCTACTTCAGAGGGGTCCAGGCGAGGGTCATTTATCAGATGCCCTCGACGGCGATCGCCTGGTCCGTCTACGAGTTCTTCAAATACATCCTCACCAAGCGCCAGGAGGAGAGGCGGGCTGGGAAGTGAGCCAGAGCCGCACGCCATTCCAGACCTGCTTCACCTCCCCTCCTGGTTTGTCTTCTGACCCCTCTCCCTTTCGGTTTGGTTTGTGTTGAAGAGAGGGGGCGGCGAAGCCCTTTTGGGGTGCAGCGGTGCCATTTTTTTGCCTTGCGGCTGCTGCGGCTCCACTCAGGCCACGCAGCTTGCTCTCTCCCAGGGCCCTCCGAGATGTCCCGCTGGGAGCTGCAGCCTGGGTCGTCTCCCCTGGGGCTTCAGTGGAGCCGTGCTCCTGTCGCTTCCC